ATGGCAGCCTTCCACTACAATTATGCAGTTATCTGCCGGGTTCCTCAATCTATCTCCAACAGAAGTGTTGGTTCTGATAACTATCCGAGAGGGGTTGACGTTGACAAAGCCAGACAAGAGTATGAAACCCTCAGAGAGGTATTAAAGAGCTTGGATTTGAACATAATCGAAATGGTGGAGGACGACAATTACCCCGACTGTTGTTTTGTTGACGATACCACTGTTGTGATTGGAAATACGGCCCTGATAGCTCGACCCGGCCATATTTCGCGTCAGGGAGAGGTATGGTTCACTTCACTTGTAATTTAATTGTTGTATACAAGTTTGATGCTGTAAATACTGCAGAGTCATCATCTTCTGGTAACACTGCATGTCGTTGGGTCACCAGTTGCTGTTGACGGCACTGATCAGCCCGGCTCTCCTCCGAACTTCTACCCCATATTATGGCTTCCAAACAAAAACCCTAACAGGGCCTCAGTCGTGTGTCAATTGCGCACTTCCAGCGACCTAATTTGCAGCGTGGATTGGGGCTAAACTAGATGGCTGGGACTCATCAGCAAAGCTGCAGGAGATGCGGAAGCTGCTGCTCGTGAGTCCCAGCCATCTAGTTTAGCCCTAATTAACGCCGCGTGAGCGGCATAGGGGATATTCTTGGCGGTGGGGGTAGTCGCCGAAAAACCGCAAATTAGGTCGCCGGAAGTGCGCAATTGACACGTGACTGAGGCCGTTTTTTGGCCGCCATATTTTGTGCCCTTTATTCAGACACTCAACATTACGGACGATGATATGGAGATGACGGGGAGACCATGCGCTTCTACACAGATTAGTGATAGTGTTCTTCCGATGAAACTCAGCGCCGAGCGTATCCACCGTGCCGCCACGCGCGGTTCGGATAGGGATCTAAACTAGATGCCTGGGACTCACGAGCAAATAAATTGGAGGAAATTGCAGTAGCTGCTGCTCGTGAGTCCCAGCCATCTAGTTTAGCCCCTCATCCGCGCCGCGCGTAGCAGCACGGGGGGATACTGTATGCGGTGCGGCATAGTCGCAGAAACAGATCCGCAATTAACATCTCACTGAGACCCTGTTAGAGCATTTGTTTCGTTATTTGGAGCCGATCCTAGTTTTGCCGCAATTTGTTCCTCAGAGAGAAACCCGCATTTTGCATAGAACTGAGGCCCTGTTAGGATATTTGTTTGTCCACCATAATATGTGGTAGAAGTATGGAGGAGAGCCATCAGCTTGCTCCACCTTTGACGTTCAGATGCAATAAACTTCATGGTCATTTTATCTAGGTCTTTCTTGGTCTGCCTCTTCTTCTCTATCTACCCCTCTACTGAGTATTGTTTTTGAAAGGCATTTAGATCTTATTAATGTTCTCACCATTGCATTTTTAAAATCTTTTCACTGTAGTTGCAGAGAGATTTTTCTAGGCCATTAACTGTGAGTTTCTCAGCAGTAGGGAAATTAGTGGGTTATTTCATCAGCGGGAGCCTTTACTTCCCACAGTATTTCCTAATACCTATTTTATGTTAGATTAACCTAGAGCTCAAATCAGTAAAATCGACTTGTGGGTTCTGGGGTCCTGTTATGGGAGAAAAAGAATAGACCCACTGCCTTCCTGAAAAGCATATAGTAAAAGTCATCTAATTAGGGGTGTTTTCTTCAAAGTCAGAGTGTATCTGCCTACAAAGTAAGTAACCATCAACCTGCATACTAATAAGCTAAATTTGTGAAACAGATGTGCAGGCACAAGTTCTGGAGCAAGACCAAAGTCCAGAAATGGAAAAACAACCAGAACTTTCAGCCGGAGTTTACAGCCGGCGAACACAATGAAGAAGAGGAAAGAGGAAGATCGTTACAAAAAATAAAAACATTGTCACTTCTCTAGGGAATTGAACACATGATCACTGAGCTTGAGGGAAAGCTCAATGGTTACTACACTACCACAGCTGTCTCAAACTTTCAGCAGTTAGTGTTAATAAGTATGATGTCAGCTAGCATTCTGATACCCAGAACTGTACAGCAACCATTATTATATAAGATTAATTAAATAAGATTGTTGGCTTTGGCACCTCTAGCAACTGAAAAACGCATTTACTGCATGCACATATTTCTGGATTGTTCCAGGACTAGTTGTTTGTTTGCCAGTTTTTAAAATACGACAGTGAGGGACATTTCATTTGATTTGCACTGGCACAGGAACGGAGCAAGTATGGGGAAACCCGATTGCGGTGATGTTGAGACCTTGACCTAGACTAAGACTAATTCAATAAGCTGGATCTGTAAAACGGATGAGCATGCAGCACTCAGGTTCTGAAACAGGGCTACAGTCCAGAAGTTGACGAACAACCAGAACTTTCCGCTTGAGTCTACAGTTGGTGAATGCAAAGAAGAACATAATTAAATTAAAATGTACATCTTCTGTGATACATTTTTGTAACTTTTGGCTTTTTGTATGAATAATACAGTAAGCATCTGTTAAAAATTTCTATTTTTCATGCAGTAAATGACTAGACTAATTATATGGCTCTTTGCTTACAATTGCAGGTTGGAGAGATCCGTAAAGTTTTGGTGTCCGACTTGCTGATGAATGTTGTTGAAATAAAAAACCCCAAGGCACTCCTTGATGGGGGAGATGTCCTTTTTACCGGTAATTCATATAGAAATAAATTTGTAAAGAACAAATAGCTTACTAGTTTTGATGACACGTTCAGTTCTGTCATGAATCAAGAAATAATTTGCAGAAGTATGAGCAGGTAGTTAGAACACTAGTTTGAATGTTTATTAGTTATTGTTTTCTCTGCAAGCACTGATTTAATGCCAGTAATAAATATTCTGTATTCTGCATAGGGTTACATTTTTCATGAATTTCACAATTTTCTCAGTGCCTCGAAAACCTCTAATGCCACTAATGTCTTTTATTATCTGTTTGTGCTTGCACACACACTTACACACACACCTACTACCTAAGAATATCATAATTTTACCTCCCAAAGCAAGGCCTTACTAAGGGAGATCTGGCTACAATTTGCCTGATTTATTCTCACCATCCCTATCTTTTCCTTATGAACCCTTGAACCTAACTGACTGTTAGGACTTTCTGTCTAGGTGTGTATAATTTACCCTTATTCCACTTCTGTAGGATGTCAGGGCAGTACAACCAGCAAAGTCCAGATCATCAGAATACACATCTGCCTGTGTGGGTTCCGGGGTTGAGTTGTTAGAAACACAACAACAGACCCACTGCCTCCCCACCATACATGTTTTAAAAGTCGACTAATTCGGGGCTTCCTTCTAAGTCATAGAGTGCATTTGCCTGAAAGGTGACGAACCAAAAGTCTGCATACAGATAAGTCAGATCTCTAAAATGGATGTGCACATAACACTCAGGTCATAACACTCAGGTTCTGGAACATACGGACGAACAACTGGAACTTTTCACCGGAATTTACAGCTGGTGAATGCTAAAAAGAAGAAGTAGAATTATCTGTGTAATGAAAGTTAATGTATATTTACTGCCTCCGCTTCTTCTTCTTCATGCTGTGTTCATCCTTAGAATGGTATTTGGCATGGTATATAATAGTTCACAGCAAACCTGTGAAATCTGCACCTTTCAGCCACATCTAGCCTTTCAGCCAGTCCTTAACTAGTTGTCGTCTATGTCAAACTTTTCAGGGAAGCAGTGGGTTTTTTCTTCTTTCCTCCTAGAAATGGGGACCCCAAAACCTACCTGGGGATTGTATATTAACAACTGTACATGTGTTAATTAATTTATGGACTTAGGTATTGATTTTCTGGTGTCCCTCCTTTGTTCTCCAAAATAGGCAAAGAGATCTTTGTTGGCGTAGGCAAGAGAACAAATGAGGCCGGAGCTCAAGCAGTGGCAGAAACTTTCCCTGAGTATGCTGTCTCCATGGTAAACTTTGAGAAGTGTGAGGCCCTTCACCTCAAGGATGTCTTCAACATGGCAGGTCGTAGTGTGATGGCAGTCGCACCAGGTCCTGATGTGCAAACAGTGTTACGAGTTAGTACATTTTTTGTAATTTATTACTCTGTAAATTATTGGTTTTAGTTTGTAACAGAGAAAGTTTTCATTTTATTTTTTACTTAGATATTACTTTGAACCCCAAATAACGTGTAGTTGTGCGAGGAGCAGCTGGCTGAAGGTTAAGAATTCTGGGCTCAAATTCAGGAGACCAAGGTTTGAGTCCCTGGTAAGGTCATGGAATTTTTCTGTCGGGGGCAAAAATAAAGCCCTAATCTGTACTGTCCATGGCAACCACCAGCCATGCAGTTCTTCATCCTCAGGCTCAAAGACCTTCCCGCCTACACTGCAAAAGTATTTAATATAGGCAATAATTGGCATTATTTTTGCCAGTTGTACTGTTTACCTGTTCATGAGTTTTGGTCTTCATCCTCAAGGAATTCTAAGGGTCCTTTGTAAACACTTGGAAAACATGTAGTGTACGTCAGAAACCAATTGTGTCCATATTCCACCGTAGTTGTGGGTTCATGTCGATGATAGAACTGGCTAATAATGACAGCTTTTTTAGGACTGCCTAGTAGACCATGAGTAGCTGCAGCAGCTTAGTAGTGGCCTGGTGCTTGCTTGCTGGCCTGAAGGTCTTGGGTTTGTATCTCCATCGAGGTAGATTTTTCTCCAAAATTGACTTTGGTTGCCATGTTGACCTAGTCTAAAATGGGTGCTCGGTAATGTTCAAGGAAGTAAAGGCGGTAGATGTCATGTTGACCACAAGACCCTTGAGTGCTGATTGGTCTATAAAAACATGAGTCTAGCATCATATACCTGATGAGCTGCCATCACAAAAAAATGTTTTGTTGTTGTTGACCTGTTTTGAAGCCCGCTTTGTCAGCAACGAAAAACTGTCATCGTTTGGGGAGCACAGGTTCAGATTCCAGTGTAGTCTTCTTCTTCTTCAGCATTCCAAGTCCTTGAGGTTCATTGCTGCAGATATCAACAGCCCCCATTCATCTCTCCGGTTGGCATTTTCTTTCCATTTGGTGACACCAAGTATTTGCAGGTCTGTCTGGATATTATCTCTCCATTTTCTTCTTGGTCTGCCTCATGGTCTACGACCATTCATCTTCCTTGTGTATACAGTTTTTTTTTACTTCCCTGTCATCTGATATTCTTTCAATATGCCCCAACCATTTCAGTCTGTTAGCTCTCCTGATGCCAGTGTAGTCACTGTATTAACTCTTTGAGTCCCAAGGAACGCATCATACGTTCATAGGTTCATACCTAGAGACCCAATAAACGCAAGATGCGCCGATTTTACATCCTTTTTGACTACCCCTTGGGCCTCTGATACTAAACCCCTTGGGACTCAAAGAGTTAAAAAATAAACATTTTTATGTAGTGTATCCTCCTATGAATATTTCTGTCTCTGTGTCTGTGAGCGATGATCAGTATTTGTGTGTGAATTTATTTCTCATGAGAAGCAAAGATGTCTGGTATGATTTTGACAGTGTCACCATGCACTGCTACTCATGATTTCCTTCAGCCTTCCAAGTCCATGCATTTCATTGCTGCAGATCTCGCCCACCTCCAATTATCTCTGTGATTGGCCTTCTCTTTCCACTTGATGACTCCCATGTTTTTTGTAAAGCTACATGTATATTTTCTCTCCACAACAGTCTTGGTCTTAGATATCAGATTCATGATGAAATTGTGTTTTATAGAGGTGGGGTGGGGGGGGGGGGGGGGGCATTCCCACATTTCAGCCACCGAACCTATAGAAACAGAGTATTTCTCTTTGTCTTTTCTCTGCCCTTTGACAGGTCCGGCTTGGGAGGCCCTGCTGTTAGCTGTACTACCAATGACATACTCTCAGGGTCACTGAATTAGGTTCTTTACTGCACCTCTCTCTTTCTCTTTCTCTCTCTTTCTCTCTCTCTCTCTCTCTCTCTCTCTCTCTCTCTCTCTCTCTCTCTCTCTCTCTCTCTCTCTCTCTCTCTCTCTCTCCTCCCTGTCTCTTTTTAAATGTATTATTAAAAATCTTGTATTTGCCTCCTTTTTTATTTTTATTTCTTCTTTTTATTGTAACGGTACTCTGCTTCTTCTTCTTCTTTGCATTTGCTGGTTGTAAACTTTGGCTGAAAGTTCTAGTTGTTTGTCCACCTCCAGACTTTAGTCCTGTTCCAAAATGTGAGTGTTGCAAGCACATCCATTTTACAGATTTGACTTATTTGTAGGCAAACAGTTGGTTCCTTTCCTTTCAAACAGATGTCCTCTGAATTTAAATGATGCCCTCACTTAGTCGACTCCTACGACATCCTTTTTGGGGAGGCAGTGAGCTTATTCTTTTTTGCCCACATTGGGGCCCTGGAACCCATCTGGGGCATAATGCTATTCAGTATCTACTCATTTATTTAATTCCTTTTTCATCTTCTTTGTGCCTTTTTTTTTTACTGCTTTGGGTGTTGAAGGAGATGTAAGGTCCTGCTTTGTGCTCTTCTGACTGCTTCGACCATAGACACATTGTGGTTGTTTCTCTGATGTTATCTTCCCATATTGTTCTTGGTCTGCCTCTTGTTCTATGTCCCATTCCTCTGTTAGTATATGTCTTGTATGGTATAGCATCAGGAGGCATTCTCTTCAAGTGGGCAGACCATTTGGTTTGCTGCCTTTGTATGTATTTAATTCCTACTTGTGCTTGATCCAACCAGCAAATGCAGGATGTGGCCAGTTACCCATACCAGGTCATGCAGATGGACACACGCATGGCCACAGACATGCTGTTTGTCAATGGTCACCTGATTCACCATGTCCGAAATGAGATGGGAGACAAGAGTTACGGGGTAAGCATTTCTCCCTGATGTTATGCACACAGCAAATAATATACATTCTGTTTTACTTTAATAAGCACACATATGGTGGCTGTGGCCATTGAGTTAACCATATGTGTAAAATCCTCCCCATACTTAAATAAGCACACCTCCCAATACTTAAAAAAGCACACCTCCCAATACTTAAATAAGCACACATATCAAGGCCATTGAGTTAACCATATGTGTCAATTCCTCCCCATACTTGAATAAGCACACATATGGTGGCCGTGGCCATTGAGTTAACCATATGTGTCAGTTTATTCCCATGTCCGTAATCAGTCCCCTGGGACTGAAAGAGTTAAACCAGATTTACCTATCAAAACTCACATGTGACAAGTTTTCAAAATAAATTCAAGGATACCTAAAACACACAGAGATGATAATTAGACACACACAGAGATTAATAATGTATGCATGATATAGAAAAGGCTTTCATCGGATGCCTCTTCAAAACCTGACACTGAAAGGCAACACAGGACTAGAGAAGGCAAAAGTACAGAAAAAGTTGCAGGAGATGGGAAAATAACGATGGCTTGGGATGCCTGATTGTAACTGACTCACAAAGAATGTTGAGAAAGGTGAAAACAGGCATGCTTCATGCCGAGTGGCAATCCTCACTTCAGAGGTCGTGGGTAGTTAGCATCCTTAGGATAATATCTCCAGGTGATGCCGGTGTTTTGGGAAATGAACACACATATAGACTGGCTGGCTCTGCACCATTTAGTGGTGAATTGATGTATGACAAGTCAGATATTGTGAGGGCCCTTTGGGAGCAAGTGAACAGTGCAGCGGCGCAGGTAGATCATTATGGTCTAAGGAGAATGGCGCTGCGAGGGGTTACCAACACTTAGGGAAAGGAGGAGACAGATATACAATCAGACAGTTACTGGTACCATCGGAATTGGAACTCTTCGCTTGCTGCTGAAGATGGGGACTGAGCACTTATGTGAGTGTCCCAAGTGCTGTGATGTCGATTCTTAATTCAGCATTCAGCAAGGGATACTTCACTGGAGATTATAGGGCAGAAAAACAAGACTTGTGCATACCATAACAGCAATAAGAAGGTTGTAAATGAGTTTTATTTGTTGATATTTTGTTATTTGTTTCAGATTCTAGATGAGAAAATTCTCTGGCCCAGACATCACATCCAGATGACAGAGCTGGCAAAAATTGGTGGCACCATCAACAGTTTGGTTATCCTTATCACCCGCACCCGTAACCCAAAGCGGATCATTAGTAACATCCAGGATGAGGATCTTGGCTACTTCACCATGTGGAAACGAGGCCCGGATTCTGTCCCAATCTTGAACTAGTTTATCTGGATCTTAGCATTTGAAACCTAGTCTTTGACTAGGTTAATTTCATTCACTAGGATCATTGCTTCTGCTCCACAGTTTACTCTTGATTTTACAAAAATTTTGTTTTGTTTAATTGTGTCTTTGCATTATACATGTATCTAATTACTGCAACTACTACTTATATTAATTTGTGCCACGCCTTCTCATTATCAGCCTTATCACTGAGCTAATACATTTATAGCATACTCATTTTACCATTATAAAGTGATTTACTCTGTCTTTATACACTATTTCATCATTATAAATCTTTTTGAGTAATCAAGTCCATTCATTGCTAACCTACATTAATCAGTTAATTCTTTATCCAACTATTATAAACTTATTTCCATGACCCAGTTAACATTTATTAATGAACTATACTACCATTGTAAAATCATTTCAATGATCAAGTCTCTTGCCAACATTCATTAATAACCTACCCTACATTTATAAACGTATTTACCTTTTCACCATCGTCACCATTTGGATGAAGCCAGAAACCCAGGAATTCACAGACAAAAAAATCCTTTCATTAAAACCGAGTATTTTTACATAAGTCACTAAAAAATTTAAAAAAACCAAAAGTGGTATATGCATTTTAAAATATATCAGAGAAATATTTGAACGAGAGCAATCAGTAAACAGAAATATTTGAACAGGAGCAATCAGTGAACAGAAATATTTGAACGAGAGCAATCAGTAAACACAGATGGAGAATTCAATGGATTAATTCCCTTGAGCTAAAAAATAGGTGCATTGAGTTATACTGTGATCTCTCAATAGTGACTGCTAAAGGCAAATTATTTTGTTATAGTGACTTTAACAAATTGTTTCCTATATGATCCCCCTACCCCACCACCCAGTGCTATTTTAAATAAATAGAATCATATACAGATCTCCTAAACACTGCACAGGCACAAACAGAACCAATGCTATTAACTAGACTAACCAGGACTCTCCAAAGGCATATTTCCAATATATGGGTTTTCCAGGGATGTGTAATGGACAACACAGCACACATATTGGTAACTCAGGGAGAAAGAGTTAGATGACCAGGTTCAATTCTGACATTTACTAAAGACCTACTCCACCATTTGAAACTTTTTTTTTCAGCAAGCGTGTTTCTTATTAACATTAACAGTTGACCAGCCCTGACATGATAAATGTAGGTAGTTAATTAATGACCCACCCCATCATTATAAATGTAGGTAATTAATTAATGACCCACCCTATCATTATTAATGTATTTCCTAAAGCAGGGCTAACATGACTCAACATTGTAAACTTATTTGAATGATCAAGCCTATTATGGAACAACTATCTGTGACTAAAAGTTAGTCGTGTATCCTTTACAGGACGTTGCAGAACCAACCCCAGCATTTTTTGGCTGTTGTGGTTTTGCTAGGCATATTTTCTGTTCAGTAGTTTGCCATTGCTTTTCTGAATGGTCAGCGCTTGGTACCACTGTCGAAACCAACGCAAGACAAATCGTCCACAGCTGGCATCGAACCCGACACCCTGGTATTATGAAGTGCGTTCACAACTCCTAAGCCACAGAAGCCAACCACTGACATAAAGGCGTCCTTTACTTTTACAGTTATAATGAACATTCCATGTTGCATAAAGCTCTTATAAGTTTTAAAAACAGCTTATTCTGCTACTTAGTCCAACATTTATAAAATGAATGGCATCATTACTTTTCCAATGTATGATATATTGCTATGAGTTTACCTATTACAGTTCACGATTGCAAATTGACTTTAAATTAATTCATATTTCCAATGTCTTTATTTTAACCAAAGCACAAACTATTATAATTAAAGCTGTACTGAACATTAGCTTCGGAGCCAAATAGTGGACCTAATAACTATTCGGTACAGCTCTAATTATAATATCAGCTAATCAAATCAAAATTCCAAACTATAGCAGTGACTTATTCAGCCCCCACCGTTTTAAATTAAAATGTAATTGTCCATGTTACCATTTAAATGGTGAGATGACAGCTAGAGCAAGGGTGCCTGGACAAAATATAAAAAAACTGCTGTTCAAGGGTTTGTGAGTTCACTGGTTATTCCATTGCAAAATTTCTTTACTGATAAAATAAGTATGTTCCAAAATGATACCGTAACTGTGGCAGCCATGATGCATTTATTTTGTATCATCATATAGCAAGCCTATTACAGAATGTTGCTGCATCATAGCCTGACTGAAAAGAATGCAGTCCCTCGCCAGCTTTCCTGCCTCATGCACTTTCCTGCACATGATTTTTAGGGTTATTTGTTTGTCCTTTTACAAAATGCCAGGGGCACACTTGTTCATGCCTACTACTGATAGGTCAGAGTAAAATATGACTTTTCACACAGCTACATTTTTTCACAGATTGCATTCTTCAAACATGATTTTTCTGGAAAGAAGAATTTAGCACTTTGGTGCAGTGCCAACGATGTGTTCTCATACTTTTTTATTTGTTGACAGAGCTGGCTGGATAAATCTGGCTGTTCTGGTCGTCACTTCTTCTGTGTATTGCCTTTTTGAAAGTGATAACTCACGATTTCCCCCTCAGTGAGCATTGGCCATGAAAGGTTTTAGGAATGACCAAGTTAATATATCACAAAAAAATCGTACAATCGTTTGTTTAATCTGCTGACTTTGATAAAAACTTTTTTATATGTGTTTGCCTTATTTAATTTTTCATAAGTTATCGTAATGAATATTTTTGTTATTCATTCAAAATATAAGATTGCCTTAATGCTGATAACATAGTTTTGTAGTTTTACAAGTTTTGTAAATTCCCAGATGGATGATATAGTAATTTGGTTGAATTTGTGATATTTGACACAAGTGTTTGTGATAATGACTTTTATTGTTAATAGTAAATGTGATAACTAAATGGTTTCTGCTGTGCATTCGTCTATTAGAAGTGTTATTGAGAGCTAAGGTTGAGAAGCTAATTGTGCAAACTGCATACTTTGTGTGTATGTGTGTGTATTCATATATATAAACCCACACAACTGTTTTTTTCTTCTTCTAGGTTTAACTTTTTAACCACTTCTTTAGGGCTGAGGAAGAATATTAAGCCTAATGATTTAGGGCCGCATGACTTGTGCTGTTGCCACAGACTGTGCCAGTAGCAATTTTATGTTTACTCCCAGCAGAACAAAATTCATCACCTTACTAAGGATCCCAATCTGGCCCAGCACTCTTAGCCACTTGACCAGTCACTCCTCTTATCTACATAGCTGGTTCAATTTCGGATAAATACAGTTTTAACTCAAACTATAAACTAAATCATGGATCATAAAATGGTTTTGATGGAAGCGTTAATACCTACTGTCATTTATACATCATAGCATTTCATGAGTAAGAATTGTACTTAGCTGTGCCAATGTTTTCTTCAAGTATACAAAATATTTTATTGTGTGGCTTTGATTTTATTTCATTTATCTTGGACTTCTGCTTATTCCTTCTTACTTCTTCTTATTCCTTCTTCTCTGCAATTTGCAATTGTTAAGGGACTTTTAACATGGTCAGGAAGTTTCCTGTTTTGTCTGTGTGTGGGCCTTATCTGAAAAGGCTAGGGATTTGCTCCACTATGCAGTGATTAGGAAGAAGTAATGTTCTCAAGTTATCAATATATTGCTTCAACAGTATTCACTAATTTCTAACTTCAGACTTCAGAATGTTCTAACCCAATTTCAGCATCTCAAAGTTCCATAGCTTCTAGCCTCAGTCTTAAGAATTTTTCAGTCTCAGACGTTAGCATCTCAGTTCCATGGCTAGAAACCATGGTACCTCAGATTTTAGAGTCTCAGAATTCCATGGTTCCTAGCCTCAGACTTCAGCGTCTCAGAATTCCATGGTTCCTAGCCTTAGACTTCAGCATCTCAGAATTCCATGGTTTCTAGCCTTAGACTTCAGCATCTCAGAATTCCATGGTTTCTAGCCTTAGACTTCAGCGTCTCAGAATTCCATGGTTCCTAGCCTCAGACTTCAGCATCTCAGAATTCCATGGTTCCTAGCCTCAGACTTCAGCGTCTCAGAATTCCGTGGTTTCTAGCCTTAGACTTCAGCGTCTCAGAATTCCATGGTTTCTAGCCTTAGACTTCAGCATCTCAGAGTTCCTTGGTTTCTTACTGCAGACTTAATTCAGCATCTGTTTCTGGATGAAATCTACTGTTTATTGCAGATCATACTTTTTATCTCAGAATTTAGTTTTCTGTGTGAAGCATGGCTTTTTCCTTATATCATCTTTTGTTTCATTAGTTTAAAGTTGTCCCGGAATTATATCTTGAAAAGTTTTTTCCTCGACAGTTTTAATAAATTTGTAATCTTGCCAAAGTTAGTTCTACTAAACTTGTATCTTGGCAAAGTTGGTTTTACTAAACTTTTATCTTGGAAGAGTTAGTGTTTCTAAACTGTTATTATGGCCAAGTAGGTTTTACTAAAATGTTGTCTTGGCAGAGTTAGTTTTACTAAACTTTTACCCTGGCAAAATTGGTTTTATTAAAGTTTTATCTTGGCAAAGTTGGGTTTACTAAAGTGAAATCTTGGCAACATTAGTTCTACTAAAATTTTATCTTGGTAAAGTTACAACAGCGAACTTACCTGCCAGCCAAGTATAGTTACACCCATGTAGAAGCAGGAAGTTAAAAAATATGTATAGTTACCCAGGCTGACCAAACTTAAAACAGGTACCAGGAAATATTATGGGAAGCTAAGATAGCTGTGTGCTCTAACCCCACCACCAGTCCAATGCAGATAGGCCTGTTGAACTGGTGCCAGCAGTGTATACATAACAGGCTTCAGGGTGTGAAAAAGACTGAATTATAAAAGAAATTGTTACAGGTTTTTCCTCATTCATCATTCCAGTTCTAGAGTCGGTATCAGTTATTATTTTCCAAGCATTTTTAACATTGTCTCCCAGCCATTCCTTTATATATTGCTGTATCCTTTACTTCTTGGTTATAATGGTTATA